CCCCCGCACGGCAGCCCCCCGGCCTCGCAAACTTTCAGGTTATATTTGCATTTTGTAAAACCTGCCTTTTTGAAGAGTTTGAAATGGCAAGCATTATTTCCACAAATAAGTCCTTTCAGAAACATTCTGAAAATGGAATATAGTTGCATTGGGTCCTCCCAACAGAAGCCAAGCAGGCTATTTTCACTAACTTATCCTATTGCAGTCCTCGCACAGACTGACCAGATTTTTCAAGTAGCTGGATGGTACAAAATGGGCAATCCCTAAGGGAATAAATATTCTTTGGGGGGATTTACGATAAAGTAAACCAATTTGGGACGTGTAGCATTTGCAGAAAATATGTGCTAAGTTATTTTTCAACCTGTATATTTCTTATATTAAGACTTAATGAAAATATCCCCTATACTTTTCCACTTCATTCCTTTTAAACAGTTTTCAAGAAAATTACCACACACTTTAACAACCCTTATTAATTATAGGAGTATCTTTTTAAGATTAACAAAATACTACTAAATGTATAAAGTTTGCCTAAAGGTTCTATTTCTCCAAAGGGAGCAAAAATTGTGCTCATTGGAGAATCTTATCCTTATTAATTTAATCTTGAGTAAACAGGAGGCACTGGACTTCTATCTCCAAAATTATTTTGACAATATGTATTGCTTATCATTACAAAAGCATTTTACATAATAATAAAGGTACCCAAGTTTGCCTGAAGGCAACGTTTTTCTTAAAATGGCTACTACACAAATCTGGATATTTCATCTTGCAACTTGCTACACAACTAGCTTTGGAGGCAATTATAAGATTCCTTGGACTAGAAAGGCCCATTATTAAGGGTCTAGTTAATTAACTCCTACCCTCCCCATTAACATTCTTTATTACAAGTAAACTGTGTGCCTGTAGTTATTTAAGTACTTAGAAATTCTTCAGAAAAATGAAATACTATTTAGACTTATTACATTTTAATATTCTCTGCTATGGTAATAAACGACTTTTGCTAGGAAATGATTCTAAATACTGCATAAAGTAGCACTATAACTTAAAAAATAAATGACTAAGACATTCAGTATAATAACTACTCACATTCATAACTAAAACATTCAGTATAATGTCGATAATCTAAAATTCTATAAAGATGCACATCTTGGGTCTTCTGCAAATTATATTCTATAGTATATTATCTTTTTAAACAATCTCCTACCTGCCTCTTAAATTAATTCTTGTCTTCAGAAACAATACACACATGTACCCAGAAGTTAGTTTTTGAAATAAAAAATTAGCTTACTTCAAAGGAAAGTTTCTTTTAAAAAGAAATCTCCTGCTCTAAGAAAAATAATATCCAACTGCTAAAAATGGACCCATAAACCCTTTTATTAGAAGCCTCAGAGAACTCAGAACCTAAAAAAGAAAGGAGATCTCCCCACTCCTCTCACCCTTTCTGGACTATCTGAAGAAACTAACTGTAAAATGAATACCTGAAATTTCCTCTAAAATCAGTGGTACCCAGCTTGTCAGAGAATAAATAGACTACTTACCAGTCACATAATAGTATATACCTTGACTTCAATTGAAATAATTTCCTCTCTCTAGTTGCACTATCCTTTTCTAATTAAGTCTAGTTGGTTGAAGACATGGACCAACTTTAGTAAACCAGGGACACTGTCTCAAAACCAAGGATATTTAAATATATATATCTTAATTTTGTATATTCAAAGAATGCTCTTGGGGTTACATGGCTTCTATAAATGGCTATGAAATTATAGGAAAACCTGATCCCCACAAATGTATGTTTATATGAAGGTAGGTATATTCATGTTTTATTTTTGAATAGGCAAAATATTTACAAGGTTCAAAAATCAAGAAGATACATAA